GTGTTCCTGAACTGTGAGTTCTGGAGTGGATTTGCCATGAGTGTTGGTGTGTTAACCGAGGAAACTGTAGGGTTATTTTGCAATGAGAGAGGATGTCCAGAAGGAACTGGTGTTCCAGGCTGAGAGCCCTTGAAGCCCTGATGGCTCGGAAGCATGGACAGATTGAGCTGAGGAACTCTCTGGTTAGAATTTCCGAATCCTCCTTGCGTGTTGTTCTGCGTCTGAGGCGAGAATAGTTGCGAGGTTGTCGGATCGCTGTCCCCCATAGCGTCATCCAGCTCCATATCATCGATAGTGTCAAGGTCAGAGTGTGGCTGAAGCGGCGGGTTCGGACTCAATTTTCGCTGCATGTCCAGACCTCTGTCCGCTTGTAAACCTCGATTTTGGTTGTTCACTTGTTGGTTTTGTTGCTGGGCCATTGCGGCGGCAGCAAGCGCAGCTCGTCCGTCAGTCTGGCTTGGGCGATGACTCTGTTGAGGTGACTTCGTAGCATGCGCCTCTTCATAGTGCTGCAACAGATCATGAAGAGTGGGGAGGGTGATGCCACAGCAGGAGAAATCCCGCATGAAGTTGGCTTCCAGTTTAGGCAAATATGAAGAGGAATGAAAGGAGGGAGATTGTCCGAAAGCGAACGGCGAGGTTCCAGTCATAATGATACTAGAAAATGAGAACGTCAGTGTGCTGCTCGCTGGAATGGCATTTCTGTCGCAATCGCAAGAACCCCGCCATAACTCTACGAAAGACCTGTCACTCACTCGTCACGTATCCAGCTTCCAACAGACACACCACCCCAGCTCATACCACCGACCAAGCTTCCAGCGAGCGACTCCCGACGAGGCTTATCGCGATTAGACCCCGCCATGGAGATTGGTTTCGTTCCGTTGCCCCATTGTGCGGTAGCTGCGCTGATAGAGTCCTTGCGGGGAGGCGGGGCCTTGAAGACATTGATGCCGATGCCACTGGGATGAGAAATGCTACCTGTGCGCTCACCAGTTCCAGCTCTCTGAAGGGCAGACGTAAGATTCGACGCCTGCTGTCCCGGAGGAGAAACTGAGGCCTGGCGAGTGGCGATATCGATGGGAGCAGCGGTTCCTGTCATCTTGCCGAATGTGAGGGGGGAGGATGAAAAGAGCGGAAAATCGAGGTCCTCTTTGAGCTGTGTTCGAAAATCTTGAGAATCGTGGTACGGTGAATGAGTGTCCTGGGTGTTCAGTGAATTTCCAGCCCACGGGTGACCTGGGTTCTTTTCCCTGTCCGGTTTGCGGGACGATACGCCAAACCCGAGAGGGGTGGTGACAGGTGTCGTATCCCGAGTAGAGGCGCGATCGTATTCTGCGATAGACGGAGAGTAGTGAAGAGGAGGAGGAGAACTGAGAGTTTCCTCTGATGATTCGAGCATGAAGGAGCGATTCTCGATGGCGATTTTGGGCGGGATCACACAGGGCAGTCCACCCTCGGATGTCGTCCCGCTTTGGCTTACTGGGCCTGCGGAACCGCGACGGATTCGGGAAAAGTGGCGGGAGGTAGGAATGTCCCCGAGGAAACAAGCCAAAGAAGTAGATAAATGATGCTATAAAGGATTCAGACTGAGTCAAAGAATATGAAGGAGGAGATGATGATAAGGATGATCGAGAGAGTCTAATCAACACATAAGATGGCTTTCCTCCAACAGCTATGGGAGCAACAACTGGCGAACTGGAAGGGTTTCGAGCAGTACCTTACCTTAATAGTGTATTAATCCTCGGTACGGTATGGAGGCAACGCTGACAGGTGGTATTTGCTCATGTTTGGTACGTAAGGTACCAGGCGCAGGAGCTGTAACAATACCGTATGGCCACGCGGGTCCAATGATTCACACTTGAGCCAATCTGAAACTACGGTGGACAGGGCGGCAGGGCATGATCTGAGTGGTAGGATCTCAGGTTGGGTGAGTGATGACTGGGCAGCCAAGGCTTCAGGGAACACTGGGCCGTTAGAAGCAGCAGCATCAATGATGGCAGTGGTGGGCGGTGGAGGTTGAGAGGAGGCCAAACCCCGAGGTGACTCCGTACTGTAATGTACTGGTATAGCCATGACTGGCGCCAAGAATCTTACCGCCATTACCAGAAGATACTTGATCTTCTCTCACTCATGTAAAGGTACAAGGTAATATTGCACTACCTACGTTGTTCTTGCGACACTGGTGCATCATTCTAGTATCATTTAACATTTAACAGGCAATGATCATCAAGAGCAATAATGTAAAGGTAGCAAGCCTCTCAAATGGTTTCATTGCTTGGTCCGAGACGGGTCGACGACAATTGGGCTACATGATAATGAATCATTCAAATAAGGAGGCAATGAGGGAGCCCGAACTTTCCATGGTTCACTTGACTGACTGATACTAGGTATATATGCCATCTACCTGAGTACTTGAAAGTGATTGGGCATGCTGACTGACGCTGCCAAGTTGTGCTCTATAATGAGCGATACGTACCAGGGGTGTTGTTGTCAGTGGTATCCTTCTTCCATGCATCGCCTGGTTCTATCGAGTAGACCGTCCCAGGTACTTCTGGCCATCTTGAGTTCAGCCGAGTGGGCTCGAACCTTTGATAGAACGCTTCTAGAGGTGCTCAGTGTAGTAATGACCACAATGATGTCTTATCGCCGAAACTTTGTCCCCCGCTCTAGCCAGGTTTCGATGACATCAACGATCATCAACGATCATCAACAACATCATTGTCTGAAATGAAATACTGCGAGACAAGTGATGATATCAATCTTGCGAGGACAAGCTTCGGGGAAGCTCTAGAGCGGTACTTAGCGTTCCCTTAGAAGCCAGGTTTCAGCCATTCAGTAATTCAACATCACCAGGACTGACCTCGATACCCAATTGATAAACGGTCGATTGATAGTTGTGTATGGCCGATGACCAGATCAGCCGTTCTATCTCAGCACTATCGATAGACTAGTCGCAGTCATTCAATGGATGAGAGATAGATAAATGAAATGATGAACCGCCCCTTATCTTCTCCGGGGAAGTCTCCTGCATACGCCATACACTTCATACTCCGTAGGGTAAAGGCTTTTGGATGCTGGGCTGGCGCTAGAAACACGGCAGAAGAAATTAGTACGTAGCCATTATTCACCGCCTTGGCCCTCGACAGACCTTCCCTCTCTAAACAATTCTCTGTACAATCATACGGAGCACCTCAAGACAGTACAATGAAGGTTGATATCTACGAATCCATAGGCTGAGAGTCTATCAGCGTTGTCAGATTAGGACGGGGCTGGGAACCAAATACACTCAGAAGATTATGAGAGTCTACCTTACAGCTCACAGTATGCAAGAGTTACATAGAACTGCACTTTGAGACAGGTGGATTCTGTCCGTCTCCTCCAGCCACGTGTTATCCTATCCAGGTCTGATTACTTGTCCTTTGATTCCTCAAACCCTTTAAAGTGACACAGTATTCATTGTATTCATCGAAGTCTACATGCTCCATGTACTGTCTCGCCAATCATGCTGATACATTAACTATCTTTAGGTTACCTCAGTCTTTGCATCTAAGGTAGATACATTACCATGACTGCCAGTGCCTTACAGGTTCAATACAACTGGCTGTTTCATTTGAACCAGAAAAGTGATCTGCGGTACTTACGTACCGGTTGAATGGGTCATTGATTATTAAGGGACCCACAAATGAGGCCCATTCTTCTGGTTCGAATGTTTCCAGAACAATTGCTAAGCTACTTAGCCTGTAATAGTGTGCTCATCGCTTCAGAAACATAAAGGTCAAGCGATGTCTCTGTGCAAGTCATATGATCTTGAGGAAAGGGAGTGGTGTCATGAAATGCCTTCATAAATTCATCAAGCTGCCTCGGTATTGAGCTCAAAAGTAAGATTGCAGTCACGGGACTCCGGATAAGTACTAGATAGGTCTTGAAGCTGAGGTATCATGGAGTAAATAAGTACTTCGGAATAAGTGACTGGTTTATGTAGAGCATGGCCGTAAGATAGCCAAAAGATCAATATCCTAAATCAAGAAGAATTGCTGTTAAACTTACCAATCACAAGCCAAAGTTCTCCTCATTCAGGTACTTGTGACTAGGTACCTATGCAGGTACACCAATCTATTTAGTGACTTTGGTACAGCATACAGAGTACTCCGTAGACTACTGCATTTTCAGTGCTGATCATATGTAGTATCTAGCCCTTCGCTTCAGAGTATTGCTCTGAGCCTCTGAGATATGGATTGGATTGAGGGATGATCATTTATAATTTGATTGATCTATGCTACACAGTAACAAAGTGATGGGTGTTAATGTGCGATTAAGAGATCTTCACTCTGGGGATCTACCCGTCCGAATTTACTCCGTACCCCTGCATCTAAGGCTCTAAGTGTGTATTTTGATTTCTGTTTCATCCACATAAATTGATAACACATGAAAGCTGAAGCACATGTGGCATTTAGAGACTCGGTCTCACTCGGATACCAAGCCTTGATGGTGGAAACCTTCCAGTTGCATTGACGTGGTATTGAGTACGTAACGACAGACTCGATCAACTTAAGGTAACTTTTAAATAGATGTCCATTGTGCTCCATTATCTGTAGTAAAATACGCTAGCGTATATTCAGGCATGGAGCAGTACTGGAAGACATCCAACTTGGCGTGTATGCCGCCCAGAGAAACCACCAGACATTACCTTACCTTACCTAACATGGATTGACACCTAATTACAAATTGCCAACCTACAGGGACCTAGATTGCACCGCCTTCGAGCTCACACTGACCGCCTTTGAAACGCCACCTCGATTATGCAAACAATGCAAAAACCACTATCTCCGCTGTTTGTTCACTGGAAATTTTGTATGCGAACACTGCGATAAGCCTTTTCCAGAATAGGCTTGGTTTGGACCCGGTAGATCAATTTGTGATCGTGAGCATCCTCCGGTCTGATCAATACTCAGCAGCGAGAAGTGAAGGCTGCGGACTTGGTATTTCGAGTTGGCGCAAGAATGGAGCCTGCTGACCAAACACAACCCATGGCGGTCACGCCCAAGCATGATCTCAAGAACGGCGCTTCGGCTGCTGCCAACGATGAAGAGCATCCGTCCAAGAAACCAAGATTAGAAAGCGCCTCTATTACCGAGCAGGAAGTCAGCAATGGCGCTCCCAAGCGCGTGAAGGGCGTGGCCCCAGTCAAGGCTGAGTATGCATGAACGAATCTTCCTTCTGTTGACACACTGTTAATTTTGAGTATTTTAGGTTCATAGTTCAGAAATCCGTGCGGTCAGAGCCCGTTGAAGAGAGCGCGGTCAGTGCCGACGATGCGGCCGAAGCCGCTCCTCACCAGGAACGAGAGGGCGATCAAAAAGGAAAGAAAAAGTTCTCCGGTCAGAACAAGGGGCGCGATTTCGGAAAGTCTGAAGATGCGAAAGGTCTTTGCCCGTCAAGAGCTTTCAGTCCGGAATTTTCGCCGAAGGAATGCAAGTTCGGCGAGAAGTGCCGCTTTGAACACGATCTGCGAAAGTACCTGAAGGAGCACAAGCGGGAAGATCTTACAACTTTCGGTGGCATCTGCCCGATATGGGATGCCAAAGGCAGATGCCCATATGGGTTCAAATGTCGTCTTGCGGGCTCCCACATGACTGAGCGAGATACTTCTGATGGGAGAAAAGAGCTGATCCTACTCGAGGATGAAGAGCGCAAGAAGAAAGCCCAACCGCTTGTTCCATATGCATCAGAAGACGGCGTTGTGAACATCGTTTCGAACGAGGATAAGGTTGCGGTAGCCCGGAGAAAGATCAAGACTCCGAGATCTGACGCATACTTAACCTGGCTCGATAAGATGTCGAAGGCACTGGAGAAAAACCTTCATGGTCGGCATTTGGAAGAGGGTGGAGCCGACGAAGCAACTGGTGATCAAACCAAGGATCAAATTGAAGAGGCCCGAGCAGCCTATGTCGAGCCGCCATTCCTTCCCTCAGAGAAGCGACGCATCTACTTTGGCCCAGAAACTCCTGCACTAGCGCCTTTAACGACACAAGGAAACCTCCCCTTCCGAAGGCTGTGTATAGATTATGGTTGCCAATTCACTTATTCTGAAATGGCCATGGGCATGTCTTTGATTCAAGGACAAAAATCAGAATGGGCTCTGATGAAAGCGCATGAGTCCGAAGCGCTTCCGCCCACAATCTCATCGACAGCCGATGTTGTACAGGGTTATGACAACTCCAAGGATCTCAAATTCGGTGCTCAAATTGCAGCCAACAAGCCTTGGCATGCGATCAAAGCTACGGAGCTGTTGGGGCGCCTGACCCCTAATCTGCGTGTCATTGACCTGAACTGCGGTTGTCCTATCGACCAAGTTTATCGCGAAGGAGCAGGTTCCGCGCTCCTTGACCACCCCTCGAAACTAGAGAAGATGCTTCGTGGTATGAATGCTGTTTCGGAAACGATTCCTATCACAGTCAAAATTCGCACGGGAACAAGAGACAACTCTCCGAATGCTACGAAACTCATTGAGCGTTTGGTTCTTGGAGGTCATGAATCTAGCATGCTGAATGTCGGCCCTCCTGGTGTCGCAGCCATTACCCTCCATGGACGAAGCAGACAGCAGCGATACACGAAGTCGGCGGATTGGAGCTACATCGCTGAATGTGCCGCACTCATCAAACGACTGAACGAGAAGACAGATGATGTGGCGGATACTGTTCGAGAACCAGATGAACGTATGCTGCCAAACGGTGGCAAGGTCTTCTTCCTCGGAAATGGAGATTGTTACTCCCACCATGACTACGACGATCATATCAACAATGCCGGAGTAGATGCCGTCATGGTCGGTCGAGGAGCAATCATCAAGCCATGGGTCTTCGAGGAAATTCAGGCAGGTCAGTACCTCGATAAGTCAGCCACCGAAAGATTGGCCATGGTCGAGAAATACGCCAAGTACGGCCTAGACACCTGGGGCTCGGATGAGCATGGCGTTGGTACGACGAGACGTTTCATGCTGGAATGGCTGAGCTTCACTCATCGCTATGTCCCGATCGGACTGCTCGAGTACCTTCCCCCTCACATTCAAGACAGACCTCCTTCTTGGAGAGGCAGAAATGAATTGGAAACCCTCCTGGGCAGTTCCAGCTACAAAGACTGGATTAAGATCACGTAAGTTATCTCTGCGCTAAGGGAACCCATATGAATACGATATTGATCAACTATTTCTAGGGAAATGTTCCTTGGTCCAGCACATAAAGATTTCAAATTCGAGCCGAAGCACAAGTCTAACGCCTATGAGCCGCAGGGTTAATGAGCCATTGCCACGGAATTATAGAGAACTAGACATAATTCTTGAAAGACATCATGTCCATGTACATACTTTGATAGATTTGAAAAAGTACATATTCTCAGGCATCAAGACAGAACGCCCCAGGACGATCATCACGTGACACCCCCCAGATCCGAGCGGTGATGACGTCTTCCTCACACCTCAAAAGCTGCAAAAAGACCACCTCAGCCTCCTCTTGCACTTGCACACATAACATCATCCCATTTCCCTGCTTTTAAAAGCTTCAAAATTTGATCTTCGAGTCTGCTGGGTGTAAATCTTGCTTTGTACTCATTGCCGATTAAGCCCTGAGACCATTCCTAGGTTCTCTGACGCTTTGTTTATCCTCCTGAATCTCCCCCACGAACCAATTCTGTTGCAACCTTGGAAGTGCAGACAACAATCAAAATCTTCTAGACATATCTTACAAATTCTCAAGCCAAAATGACTCTTTACTACAGCTTAGTATGTGCACTTTTTATTTTGTTACTCTGATCTCTGTTGCAACCTGAGCCATGGGGGTATATTGCAGCCTAAACCGTTCGGGTGTTTGCGGCGACACCGCTCAGCTACAGTGTTCAATACATTGGCCCCTACAGAAATTGAGTTTCTATACTGACTGGTGTCTCTCAAGGTCTTCTGCCTTCTGGTATTTGAGATGGCGGTCTTCATGGGCCTCATCATCCCGCTTCCTTTCACTGTCAAGCGGAAGCTGTTCACATTCATTTCGGAAAGCCCATTAGTAGCGAAATTACAATATGGACTGAAGGTAACCTCTTAATTTTGAGAACCGTGGATGTAGCGTTTACTAATTTATGTCCAGATTACATTCATATTCATTTTGATTCTTTTCATTGACAGCGTCAACCGCGTCTATCGCGTGCAATTGGAGCTCGCTTCCTTCACCAAGGAAGGCAATTCTATGGGGTAAGCACACCGTGATCATTGTCCTCCGCTTTTCCATTGTGACTGTTCTGACCGTATGCGCAAATGCGTTCATTATTAGTAGAGCGGCCGCACTTGGCACAGATCGCATGGAAGTCCAGGCTCGCAAGTTCTATTCCCAGCGTAACATGTACCTTTGCGGTTTCACTCTCTTCCTGTCTCTCATCCTCAACCGTACCTATACCATGATTCTTGAGGTCCTTCGCCTTGAGGACCTTGTCAAGCACCTCGAGGGCGACAAAAAGGCTGGCGGCAAGGACTCTGCCCGCCTCGCTGAGGCTGGTGATATCGGAGAGATTGGACGTCTCAAGAAGGAGATTGAGGCCAAGGACCGTGACATTGAGACCCTGAAGAAGCAGTGTGAGGGACTTACCCGCGAATACCACAGCTTGGGCGACAAGGTTGCTGGCAACACCAACGATGGCTCCAAGAAGGATCTGTGATTCGGCTCTCATATTCTCCTGAGGGTTACCTCGCGATGTGAAAGCTCCTTTGGTCGGACTACAGGAGCCTGGTTGGTGATGGAAGGGTTGGTGGGTGAGATGTGAGCGATGTTGGTTTGAGGAAGGGCTCATCCGCCAGAGGATGTCTCGGCGTGGTGAATTTGATCTACTGATGGTGTGTTTCTTGAAACCTGCGGAGAAATTGAGGTTCGGATGGTGTATTACCGTATCTTGTGTGGCGGCTGTTGGCTGGTTATAGCGAAGCGTTTTCACCTCTCGGATGATCATTTGGCTCTGCACCATGATATGAGCGTTCCATGAACCATAGGTTATCTAAAGGTGCACGCTGAACGAGTCTAAGCGTGAACATTTGAAGGGCTGTTGATATGCACCCCCGTCTGCTACCGAGAGAACTGGATAGATCTAGGACCAACCACTGTAATGGAGGAAATATGAGCAAATATATACAAGGTCCGCGCAGCTTTACTCTTTCCTCATTCTTAGCAGCGCAACGAAGCTTGGGGGTGAACAATCTTCGCAGACGTCAGAAAAGCTTCGCGGTTTGGAAAAAACGTCTTCATTGAGCTTTCAGTCATAATTCGTTATGTGGGCATTAGATGAGAAAAGTCCAGAAGCTAGGATAAACAAGCTCTTCCTCGAAAATCCTGCGCACTTGCGCAAGGACAAAGCGTTCGACCTTGCCAACGTTCTTCAGTACTTGCTTCCCGTCTTCCTTGCGGCCGATCTCACTTTCTACCCGGATCTCCTGCAGCAAGCCTCCATGGCGCTTTTGGGACGCTGAGGCGGAAGAGTCAGGTCCGGACCGCGGGCGGTGGTCATCCCCGGCTGATTCCTGCTGCTGCTGCTGCTCGGAGCCAATCAAGGCGTCCGCGTCTTCCGCGGATAAGAAGCAGAAATGTACTCGTTTACGAATATATGCGATGACGGCTACGCCGTCAAAGGTGATGCCTGTGACGTTGAGTTTTAGTGGCAGACCCACGAAGCTGGGCATCGGATAGTCTAGGAGGATCTCCGCCGTCAAGGATAAGCGCACGTCGCCGGCGTACTTGACATGGCAGAGAACTTGGAAATCTTCGGGTCGGCGCTCGCGCATCCGAGGGGGTAAGGGTAGGTGCCCCGGGGCGACGGGATCCTCTAGGTGTTCCCCGGCATGAAGTGATGGATTGTCGTTTCTCCCGGCCGCGCCTTCGCCGCTGTTCTTGATTGAGCCGGAGGGGTGGGAAGGTAGGGTATTTGCCGTTGACGGGCGAGAGGTCGAGTTGCTGGTGTCGATCTCGGGTTCGGCGCGTTGGTGCTGCACCCCCGCCTGTCTCTCCGAACGACCCCTGTTCCCGGGCCCCATGCCCGAATCCGACCAACCGCTCGCAAATGGGTTGCCCCCCGCCACTGCAGCAAGGGGTGTTTGCGTACCGGAGAGCCCGCCAAGTGACATCAGGTGATAACCTAAAGTGGAAGTCCCGCCAGGAATACCAGGAGTACCGGCGCGGGGGAGGAAATGGGGATTGAGGTGCTCGCCCAAGGGCGATCGCAAGGGGGAGGCAGGAAATCCGTCCGGGAAAGGATCTCGTAAGGAATGGTTTATCGCCGTATCTTCTCGGTAGGGTGGTTCATTGAGCTCCGGATGGGTTCTGTTCCACTGACTCGAGTGCTCCGAGTCAAGCTCCTCGGACACATCGGACGTATCGTCGTCATCTTCTTCCTCGTAAAAGTCGGCAAAGGGCTCACAGAAATCTTTAATTTCGAGCCCCGGCGGGATGGTCCCAAAATCGAAGGCATGAACTTGGACAGAACGGATGAACCGGGGCAGAGCGACCTGCTGGAATCTGTCATGGATGAAGGAGCGAATGCGCTCAGCAAGAGCTTCCCCATCTGGACCGGAGGTGGCGGTCCTCCAGTTGACGTCTATGGACATTACATGTGCGAACAAAGAAGACCTGCACAGTTATCTGTTGGTCCTGAGTGTGAAGAAGCAATTTCCAAATATGACTCTGGACGCAGGCGAGATTCAGTCGAGCTCAAGAATGTTGACGCCATAACGGAGATTCCTCGGCTGTCTGTTTCTGTCACGTGATGACAAACAACACCCAACATCGTCAAACAAACAACCGACTCATCACTCAAGTATCTTAAGTCGACCGCTGTTCCTGGCTCTCAGTCGTCACATATTGGTGATACAACAGTTAGGACTGAGTCAACTTCTTTGTTGGCCACGTTTTGGGCTGGTTGATCAGTCTGGCCGGGCACTTCTACTGCAGACGGCCTTCACACCGCTAAACGTTGCTGTCCCAGCAGTCTGGTTCACCCATTTTCTTCCCGACTTGTTCTCGCCGATACGAGCAGAAACTGGCAATGCCCTGATGAGGGAAGAGAAAGACGCCCTGGCGGCAGCGCAACGATTGCTCATTGACTCGTGGTCTAGAAAAGTTGAAAGAACTATCCAGGTTCATGGCTGCCATGAGACCTGCTGTGCAACCATCGGCCATGAAATGTTATTCTTTTTTGACTTCAACCCACAGTCAGGCACCAACAGAGCAGGGGCACTGAAGACAGCTATTGGTCGACTGATTATTCGTCTTCCAGGGAGAGGAAGAGGAATTTCACCATCTGGCTCAATTGCCTCGCTGCCTGTTGTGTTTCCATCTGGAACCCTCCCGGCACAGTCTGCTTGCTAATCTAGGCCCCTTGACTGCGGCAAGACGGTGGCAGGTCGAACCGGAAACTCCGCGTCTTGTTTTCTTTCAAGGCACTCAACAGCGAGCTTGGCGCAGATGAAAAGCGCCACCTATCGATCGTTTTCTTTGACGGAGATACCCGAAACGCCCATCCCACCCCGACTTGCCAGGTCTATTTACGATCTGAGATTCGTGTCTCTCTCACTGAAAGACTGCTGATCTAGAAGCTTGCATGTTTGCTTCATGATTACGAGCATCCTGCTATCATGCTATGATCCTGCCGGCAACCCATCTGCTCATCACTTCCCCTCTTCCCTACCCGTAACCCACCAAGGTTTGCGTCCAACGTAGGCGCTACCACAACACTCACTGGGCCAGCTTTCTTTGGTTTACCCACTGAAGTGCTCGCGTCAGTGTTGGTTCCTGTTAGGCTTAGATCGACACCTACCTGATAACCCCCGTCGTGTCTGTTCCCTATTTCTGTCTCTGATTGGTTGCTCTCACATCAGATGATTGAGGTCGTCTGCGGTGCTAATGCGACCATGCAACCTGTGATGCACATTATCTACCAGTCATGAAAACCAGGGTCTTCTGTAATCGATATTTCACCAGCGGGGGTGTCTAAGCGACTGAGAGGAGCCACACGGCCAGAAACACCTCGATTAAAGATAGACAATCTCCCTGAAATTGCTAGTCTGCCATAGTCTGTCCGTTCCTTTATCTCTTGAAACTCCGAAACTCCGAGGGACGTAGCACCTTCTGTCGAGCCATGTATCGAGTGGCTTCGAGAAGTTCCTAGTTCCCAATGCCCCTGTTTTAGGCCACAGATCTTCTTTCAGGGTTCGAGATTCTCCAAGGACTAGGAATTGTGGGCGTTTTATTAGTTTGCATCAGGCTGATTGCCTTCTTCTCATTGTGGTGCCTGTCAATGGCACAATGACCATTAGGGCGACGGCCTCTTCCAGCACTTGAAGCTCTAAAACTCAGCAACTTCACTGCTAAGAAGCAGTACCTACGAAAGAGGCATCTGCAGGCTCTCCCCATGTAAGACCCTGGGGCCTCAAAGTACCATGCAGCTCGTATTGAACTCAATGTGTACAAAGCTATACCTCGTGTCACGTCTATCTGAGGTCGAGGTGCCTGACGATCATCTCATAACACGTGGCCTACTCAGTGATCTGCAATGCAATGCAGAGGGCTAGTCTTGTCTTTGTTATGAGGAAACAATTTTGGAAAAGCAACAGAAGGAGTGTGGTATTAAGCTATCCAAGTAGAGAAACAAGAAGGAGAGCAATGCAGATGCAGATGGGTAATCGGTCGACAGGCAAAGGAAGCTGGAGAGGAGCAGAAGGGCCTGGATCACCTGGAGATCATAACAAGTGCAACTGAAACAAGAGCAGCTGGAAAGCAGACAGAGATACAAGAGTGTGGTTGAAACATGTATGTGTGCATGGGGAATGAGAGAAAGTACCACATATTTTTTTTATTATGTTTTCGTTAGATTTTTTCCTCTTCAATCAAATCAAGATGCCTTCATGCTCCTCACCCAGATAGTGCCTCCTTCCCTGCATGCATTGAAACAAGCTGCAATGCACAATGGAGAAATAGCAAGTTATGCCCTCAAGCTCTCAAATGATTGCCCAGGCTCAAGTCTGCCAATCTGTCAGTCCCAACTCATCCCTGCACCTTAAAAGAAGAGAGCCCAAACTGACAGCTTCAAAGTCTAGCCACCATGCACAGGGCAGTTGTATCCCTCTCGTCGCCGGATCTGCTGTCTGACGCCGGTGCAAGAGGTGCCTCGCTTCGCGCAGTAGACGACATCGCCTTCGGGGACGGTGCAGCCGCAATCATACTTGTAGAAATATTGCGAGCACATCTTGAAGAAATGGCCTTCGAGGTAAACCGGTTACAGAGAGGCTTGATAGGTGGCGGGAAATTGGTTGTTTGGCTCGATCAAAAGGGTAATTCCGCACACGGAGAAGTAGTTCGAGCTCGAGACGGGCTTGGTTTTTGTTCTCTGAGATTCTGAGAGCGCTGGATTTGAGATTGTTGAGATGATGGGTTGAGGTATTCGACGGGTCTTTGTGGCCCTTTAAATAAGATTCCGGCAGCCTTGGACTCAGTCGAAGATGATAGAGAAGACGGTTTGAATGACTGCGGACAAACTGTGCCGCAACAACACTATCTACTCAAAATGGTAAATGAAGGCATGCCCGGAGAGGAAGACGAAAGTGAGAGAGAACGAAAAGAAACTAAGAAGGGAAAAAAAGAAAAAAAGAAAAAAAGAAAAAAATAACAACAACATGTAGGGATAAAGATGGTCAAGGAACAGTAAACTACGCATGCAGCTCTCGCCTTGCTCTTTTCGGCCCCTTTGACAGGTGAAGTGTGAAGTTGGTGATTCAATCTACAGCATGTTCGCATGAATTCGATCCAACATTTTCCAGACCAGATAGCAAATCAGACGCTTACTTGCTTCCGAGAACTACTGCACTAGGTTTCCCCAACACCAAGCAAGACTGGCGGTTATGCGGATCATCAAAGAGGGTGGCGGCCGACGATGTCAGCCTAGTTGATGGTTTCACTTGCCAGATAGAGCAAATAGGGAGACGGTGGTCACCAAAATCCATCGGCAGGAGTCGATCACATACCCTGGTCCCGAGCTCTGTGGATTTAGAGTTCCGCATCTGCATCATGGAAAAAGGGTTGACATCATATTGAAGACACTGTGGCATTTCCCGCCAGGGGGTGGCCGGTCACATCTGCGAGAGAGAGGAACCAACAGTAGCCGTCTATCAAATCAGTTGCCGTGGCTAGCCAACAGGTTCTCCCATTGTCCGTCATGCCGCAGTCAGGCATACTGCTTTGACTGAGCATCTGACAATCGTCACACAACTGACAGACCGTGACTCTTCATCTATAGATGGACACTCTGTGATGATTCATTTCCTGTCATGTGTTCTTCATCCCACTGATAAGGAAGGAGGGTGGGCGGAAAGGTTAGCATTAGATAGGTCCGATGGAGGGCATTCCGGTATCAGAGGTAAGAGATCCGTGCCGGACTTCCCGGATCGTAATTGTTACCACTGGCGTGAAACATCTCCATCAAGGCTGAGTTCATACCCAAGAGGATGAGCCACCTGCCCCAGTCAGAGGTGCCGCATCTCCCTAGGCACACTCCTGTCCCACATCAACATCAACGGACGGAGGTTCTCTGTGGAGAATCGAAACAAAGTGACCAAATCAAGCATAATAGGATGTCCAACGTTAGATCTCTGAAGCTAAAATAATGAATCTGCAAGAGAAGCATTGTCATCACAAGAATGGAGGCTTCTGGTGGTTCAACTGACCAATCTTGGAACCACCTACCAAGGCGCAGTTGGTGATGTCTGCAAGATTCAGTCGAAAACCGTTGGTCAAAGCCGCATTGTGATGGAGAGTCAATTGAAGTAGGTGATTCAGTCTTGTCTCCGTTCAGAACTGTAATGCCATTTGTTCTTCAGTGTTGGCTGTTTGTGACACGACTGGCACAGAGTTTGTGAATCACCGGCTAAACATCGAGAAACCTATTCTGCGAGGAGTCATTTGCGGCGGCGCAAACAATGCTGGCCTATAAACTCGCCTTTTTGGCTGGAATCGCGAGCAAGTATGAACTCACCGAAAGGTGACGAGTTTGGACCGGAAGATGGCACAGCATTCGGGGCGCTCTCAGAAAGTTGATAAGGATAGTCTATGGGTGAAAGCTGACCCCGATGGCCTCGTTGAGCCGCTGAGCACCCGCGCCACAAACAAAAGAGAGTATTTCACTTTCGTAACGCCGGCGGACAGAGGCTTGGGGGGGGCGCCAAGTCAGCGACTATCCACAGGTCGAACCAGGGGGGCATGGCCTTAGATTAGCCGCCGTTGGCTGCTTTGATTCGAATAGGCAAGTAGATAATATAGCCAAGGCTGTTTTTCCTCTTGATTGTGCAATCAGGGCGGAATCATCAGGGGAAAAGTTAAGCAGGATCTGGCTGAGGTTGCTATTCCTGGTTGTAGTATCATTTGTCGATGTTTTCTGCGTCTCTGCTCGCAGTGTGCTCTGAGCACGTGACCTGGTCCTTGCTGCGCCCTTTGCGCCGTCGTCTCAACTTCTTATATGTTCATGTCCTACATCATATCATCACTGGGCCATCTGAACGCGGTGCTCATTGGCAATGGACACTTTACCGAAAGTCTTCTCTCACTCAATGGCATCAGGTCTATGAGAGGCCATCGGTCGTATGTCTCGACAGCGGTGCATCATCTCTGCACTCATCTCGAGACATACACATGGGCGGCGACATGGGCTTCAATCCTTCGTCTTCTTTGTGGGGATAAACTTATGCTTGCTAAACCCCGACCTGCAGTAATTCGGCAGATCCTAGAGGCTTCTTGAGAATGTTCTTCATGGTCAACAACAACAATCTTGCACATAACTGCCAAGAAGGACTACCAGAATGATCGACCAGGTGATATGCGTGAAGCGTCTCAAAAGGCCTCGAGAATTGGAAACACTAACTTCATGATTGATACGATCGTTCTTCCCCCCCTTTTTTTTTCTTTTCTTTTCGACAACATACCGTGGTTGCTGCTGCTGAGTGCTAACCGCCAATTCGTCATGGATAGTTTAATCGATAGTTAGAGCTCGTGTCTTGGCTTTACTTCCTGGTTGCTGATCACCCGAGGCTGAGCGGTTGTTGTCGGCCCCAGTCAGATGCTTGTGTGAGGGACTGTCTACACCAAAACTATGGATACCTACACAACAACGGCATTATTTGACCATAATAGTGGTGCATTATGCAAAGAAATAGCCAGCAAAGGCTTGGCAGAGCAGGAAGGTACATGCAGTGATCATACTGGGTCTGGCAACAGTGATAAGTCCAGCTCCCTTGGATATTTGGTTATCTAGGCCAAGGGACGCAAAGGGGAAGGGATGGGATTTCATCCTCCAATAATGACGTCTTGGCCCCTCCATTTCTGGCAATATCCATATCGCTCTAATCATGTGAAGGGCAAAGTGCAGCATGCCTGATCCACTTTCCGATGGTGAAATTGAAAATGAGATGTTTGACGGGTTGACCCCGGCGCCCCTCTGCTTAGTTGTCCTGCAAGTGAGATGCGATAACTCACTCGATCGGCGTCTTTCGGTCGACTGAATATGATCCTCCGACGGTAACCCCTCCATCCTAGATTCAGTCTTGGCTGGTATCTTCACATGTATATAAAGGGTCGCCGAATCTCGTTCCGGTTTGTCTTCTTGATCGCTCCTCAAACATCGTCCCATATCTTTCTCTGAGTTCCTTGCAAGTCTGCTTGACCGGTCGAAAACCTATATATCTCCATCTCAATCCCAGCCACTTGTCTTGACCACGCTACTGTCTTCTGTCCTAAACAAAATGTATACCTACACTCCCACCAGCAAGTTCCTCATCCTCTCTCCTGTTCAGTCTCGTCCTGAGCAGACGAGCAAATTCCTCGTCCTCACTCCCACCGAATCTGGTCCTGAGTATGAGCTTGGTGCATCATCCCCCGACTCTCCTCGGATTCGGGACCGTTCAGACAGCCAATCCAGCATCAGCACAGACGAGTCGCAGGTTGAAGCTCCATTTTCTCCTCTCGCTGGCGGCTTTCTCTACCTGGGTCACCGTACCAGCCCTAAGCCAGTGAACGTTTGATGAATTCATTTCAAACAACCCTATCACACTGCCAACTCTACGAATCAATCGCGCTGGACACGATACAATTCATCAGCATGGTCAGCTGACAATCTCTGAGACACTCAATGGCGTTCCTTGGTCTTTATTTTAGCGCTTTGTGATGGACAAATACGGCCCAGTGAAGGGTCCACGGGGGTCCTTTTCCAGTTTTTGCTTTTTCCACGTCTTCCCAATTTGCATCATGCTCCGCAGAGAGAAAGTCATTACACATTTCATCGCATCATCATTATGTATCTGTTCATTCTCGTCATTACGAAGGAAGGGGGGAAAGTCGATGACCGCCAAGGCTTGTGTGAAATCTGATAATGCCCAATTGGGAAGAATCGACCATCCATGTCTCACAGCCAAGCAATGGCAAACTGTCGTATCTCCGTCTGCCAAGAAGCACTCATCCCTTGTTTGATCGAGACAGTACTCCGCAGGCACAGTGCAGTGCTTTCTCCGGGTAGTCCAGAATGTCCACATATTCCCTCTGGGAAACGGAGTAAACAAAGGATAGTGAGTACCTAATCTTCGTCCGGCGTCCGCCCACCGGATCTTGATCTGATCTAAAAAGTGAGACGCAGGCTGCATCAGCCTGTAGCCTCTCACCGGTCGTTCGAATCTGATCTAAGCTTCTTTCTAGAAAGGGGGGGGATCTAGACCCGACTCCGCCACGGCCACGGGATAATCCCCCACCTAGTCCTCCGTACTCCATACATTCCTTTCCCCCGGTGAACGGAGCGGAGTTGGTATCACTATCACTATCACTATCACTATTATTATTATTATTCCGTCAGTCTCACTCAACCAGAACCCAGCCACATTCAACATCCCTCGTCCCTCGTAGCTACCTCATCTCTCTCGGACCATAAGCAATGCTATCGCTACGTACTCCGTACCACAATCACGATCGTCATCACCGTCACGAGCATCCAGCCCAAGGGATAGATACCCAGAACCGCTGGCATTACTGCCAAGATGCTCGGGCGATTCGGGCTCCTCGCACCTATCCGAGACCTGACTGAGTCTTGTGCAACGCCAGTAGATACCTACTGCCACTGGACACGGGACAATCACATCGCCTGCGGCTAAGCACATAGTATACCTAAGTACGGATACTCCGTACTCCGGAGATTCGAGAACGTTCGTTCATCGCATCGATTGATTGAGAGCGCAGGTTTTGCTCTAGAAGACTTACGGGGTATAGAATAGATTCTTCCCTTTTTCTGCAATGGTGTTCGCAATCGCAATTGATATCCTGTAGATAGGCAGAGCAGAGTCTATTGGCCGCGCTCAATGCACACCGCGCGCAGACTAAATGGCGATCCTCTTGGCTTGCAGCTTGGCTTGACCCCTTTCCTGGCGGGGACAGGAGAGGGGTGGAAGATGGAAGTACGGGGTAGGGTACTCTGTACTCTGTATAAAGAATGTATCCAGGGATGTTTCGTTATGGTCATCGGCAAGGCTTATCATGCATCTCTGGCAGGTCAATTGATGACATTCATTTTGTCATCAGTTGATGGATCAAGGGTGATTGCCCGGGTTTAAGGTATATTCTTGTTCAGGCTCAATCTCATGCCAGCTGGACTGGGTTTTCCCTGCATTCGAATATCAGATGCCTAAGCGACGACATATTGGTTATTTACATATGCAGCAGATGAGCACGTCTAGTTAATGGTACATGTGTCGACACATAACCCTACCAACTAGACTAGCAAGAACCGAACAAGATGAATAAGGTGCAATGAGTACACCTCAAGGGTGATGATATTATATACCCTGACATGATCCTGGACAAGAGAACTAGTACTCATCCCGATCGGACCACGAAGAAGATCCCCTGCCTGCGTAGGAGCATCATGACCACCGGAAAATGGACTGAAGAAGCGAAGCGAAAAGCCGAGCTCGCGATGAAAAGTAGGATCAGACACAGGATCAATTTACACTTAAGGGCTATAGTAACAGGGGAAGGGAAGCAGAAAAATTGGACACAGGAAAAGGAAATGTATTCTTGACAAAGGAAATAAAAGGGGAAAATAAATAAAAAGGAGGAAAAAAAAAGCGCCATATGCTAGATAAAGGCTATGTATGTATGAGGGAACAAATGGTCGCTAGACAATGCGAGGACAAACCGATGCGGCAAGCAACAGAAGCAGACAACAAGCTGGGTATCAAAGGGGTATCCAAAGGACCATACTGCTCTCTTCCGATCTTGGACTTCTTCTTAGAGCCTGGTAGACGCAATTCCTCCTTCTCGTGTGTTTCAAAGCTTGGCCTGAGTGTCGGCTTGTATCATCCGTCCTGTTCTGATGGATGACACAGCTTCTCGCGTATCCGCCTTCGGACTCGCCGCACAGAAAGTCATGGGGATATTTTGCAAGAATTTCGATTCCCGAGAAGAAAGGTAGATGAACAAAGAAGAAAGAAAAAGGGGGGGGGGGACAATTAAAATTTACACCGGACCGGCTTGGTCTTGCCGCGGTTCGTTTGTAAGAATGGTGGTACAGCTCGCGCGTGTCAATGGACGAGAAAACCGAAAAGACCTGGTTCACCGGAAGAGAGACCTGCATCAACGGTCATCACCGGCCCTGGATTTGGCTCTTCGACGGAAAAAATCCATGACTTTTCTGGCCGCACCCGAGCTGCCGGAGTGATGGGAGGGGTCTCGTTCGTACTCGTAGGCATCGGCGAACTTCCTATGATTCTTCTGCAGAACATTAGGACCTCTTCCCGTCCGGACAGCCTGCATTGACGGCCGCGGGTCATGTGCGTTGTTGTACTCGTCGTAGTAGTTCGGCGTCGAGTGATTGGCGTATTGATATCCGTATTGATGATCGTTGTCATTATGATATACTTGCTCAGCCGATGCGCTGCTGTAGGAGGTAGGTTGGTGCGCCGCGGACTGCAAACCGTGCAATTCCGCGAATTGTTGATCGATACGGGCTTGGTAGTTGACCGGCTCCTCTGAGGTGAGCACCTCCTCCCCCGGACCATCAGACACCATGCCCATCGCGTCCTGCGTGCCGTAGCTGGTGGCGCGCGCTCGAGGTCGGATGGCTCCGGTCGACGGACGTTGCTGGACTCGCTGATCCGTGGAGCGACTCGTTTGGGATTCCTCTTCGGGAGTCTGCGATCGGCTTGAGGAGAAACCTCTCAGGGAGAAAGAGGCTGGTAGCAAGGAAAATCGTCGGGGTCTATTCTCTCCGCCTGTTTCGCTCATCTTCCGGTTAGATCCATATTGAACGGAACGTCGGGAATCCATAGAGGCCCGGATTTCCTCCCCCGCAAAGGGATCCCTCATGCTCGTTGGGGGATACCGCTTGCTGGGCTTCGGACGAGGAGCGGTCTGTGTTCCACGACCGCCAAAGATGGATCCTGATCGCCCGAAGAGCTTTTCGCTGATGCCCGAGACCGTATTGGATCTCTTATGACCCTTAGGCGGTTCCTGCCGAGGGGTGGTGTTGAATTTGGGCGGAAGTGCCTGAGTGCTTGGACGTCCGATAGACATGGCAGCGTGCTGCGAGGAGTCTTGAGGGATAGGCGCCGAGATCACATATTGCTTGCTCTTCGGCTGCGCAAGGCGTCCCTGTGCGTTGGTTGCCGCGACAGTAGGCGCCACAGGCTGTCCATATGATCCCCGAGAGGGCAAACGACCAGTATTAAACGAGGCCATTGAGGCGCCCGTCGTAGGCCGCGTGGCTTGCGTGGGAGGAAGCATCGCCGTGTGCGTTCCTGTGAGGGCGGTGCTGTCCGAGGTCGACCGAGGCAAATGCCCTGGCGCAGGCGGCACCGGGCCAGCGGGTGCCTTGGGTTCTCCAGTCCGTGTTGAGCGCTGCTCCATATGAACACCCGAGGGCAGAGCGCCTGCTTGTGTGTTCGCCGTCGCATCTCGACTGCCGGGTCTTGCAGCTGGGAGGACGGCTTCGACTCCGGATGGCTTCGCGTTCGGGGATTCTGGTGCGGTGGGACTTTCTCCTCTTGCAGTCTGAGACTGAGGGGCGACATATTCGACCTGCACCGTTCGCCGCTTCGTATCTCGAGAAGTCTTCGACCGATCGGCGGATGGCTCTTGGGAAATATCTCCGGATTGATGCACAAGCCCCCCAACGGTTGGTATCGAGCTCTGGTATGTCTTGGGAGGCTCTCTGACGGAGGCACTGCGAGCCAGCGCTGGGGCTTCCCTATGACTTTCTGTAAAGGACGAAGAAAAGTTAGCGTCAGGCACCGACAACGCGTGTTTGGAAACTGACCAGGAGGAACTGTCGTGTCGGCAATGTCCGCGACTTTGGTTGTACTGCTCGTAATGTGAGACACAACATGTGAAAACTCGCTCAGCCAACTGTGACGGGCCACTTCGAAGAGGTCTGCCCGTTTGCGCGGGTCGGGCACCAATATCCGTCTCAAAAGGTCGCGAGCATGTGGTGTCACGTATTCGGGGAACGTCAGCGGTGTACTGACAATGTACTTGTACAGCAGATTGATGTTGTCGCCATCTGGATTTGCTGGATCATCATCAAAAGGCAGATAGCCAGCCAACATAGCATACTACCGAATATGTTAGCATCTCATTCTTACTTTCATCCAAAGAGCAAAAAAAATATGTGGCAACCTACCAGGATTACACCGCAGCTCCAGACATCGACTTTGCGCCCAGTATACAGTGAATCACTCACCACAAGCTCGGGGGCCGCATAACATGGACTTCCGCAGCTGGTTTGCATCAGGTCGCCCCGTCTCATGCCTTTGGCGTTAGGCTTGTCCAAGCGCATTCGCTTTACAAACTCCTTGTTGGTGAGATTGTATTCAATCTCCTCGCCCAACTCGTCGCTTGGGTCAAATGTATTCGCGAAGCCAAAATCCGTGATGATGATGTTGCGGTTGCGATCCAGGAGCAGATTTTCCAGTTTGAGATCACGATGCACAATGCCTTTCTTATGAAGATACCCCACGCCGGATACGAGCTGGGCGAATAGGCG